CCGGGTATAAAACCAAAAATAACTAGTAAAAAGGGAGCAGAACATTAATATTCACCTCATCTACAAACTTTACCCATTACAATAAATTCATTTTTGACATTTACCTATCTGAGGCAAAAACTGGAGATTAAAAATATTCTAAATTTCTTGAATAAATTCAAAAATAAAGAAAATTAAAACCTGCAGAAATCAATAAATTAAAATTTGTCTAATAATAAAAAGAAAAATCAAACAAAAGAAAAAAAAAACAATTTCATACATTAAGATTAAAGTATAAAAATAATAAAGATACAGATTTAATGATACTTTTTGGACAAATTTGATATATCCAATTGTAATGCATGAAGACAAAAGGCCCTCTAATTTGAATGCAATAAGGAAATAGTGCATACTGTTAAAGTTTAATACTTTGTATTCCAATACAAAAAAAAAAACAAACACATTTCAGCTGAGAAAAGAAAAATTACAAAAATTTTAGTGTGTGCATGTGTGTGTGTGTGTGTGTCATTTGATCTAAGAAAATTTTCAATAAATGAATAAAAAGTCATTTAAATTACTTTTAATATAAAATAGCAAAAATTTGGTGACTGAAATTTATGTGAATACATATTTTATATATAACATTGTTCTTCTAAAATGTTTTAATGAGGAATAAAAGAATTATTTTAAAACTTCCATTTTCAGTAATGATTATTTGCTAGTGCATTATCTATTGAAACATTTTAAAATAAAATACGTAATATGGTAAAAATTTGATTGTAACTTTTATTTAAGGGTAAAAGTAACTTATAATGGTTAGTTATCATAAAATAATAAAGAATATATATATTTTGTATATTAAGTTCTGAAATTGTAAAAGCTTCATTACTGCCAAAAGTGAATTTTTGAAAGCTAATAATGAAGAAAAATTAGTTTTCAGTTGTGACAAATAAAACAGCATAGAAAGAACAATGACACTAATTATAGTAAAACAAATTTTAAAGTTCATTACAATTATTTATTGAAAATCTTACATAATAGGCTTGAATAATCAAGTAATTTAAAGATTTATTCAAAATTTGAAAAACTATTAAATACACTTTAAAATAATATCAGGAACATTAGTTTTAAATTAAAATTTGAAAAAGTACATGTTTTAATAATATTAATTTTTAAATTATATATATATTAACTAAGGAGGCTATATAGTTTGCAAGATGCTTTGCTCTTTTATAAAATTTTATAGAAGTTTAAATTAAAATAAGTCTAGAAATTAAATTAAGAAAATCTAGAATTCATAGTATTTTCAATCTGAAATGAAAATTGTGTACAAAGTTAAATTAAATTAGTTCATCCTTTTGCTTTAAGAAGGTAAGCATGAAAAGTGCAACCAACTGTTAATTCAGAAAGTAGATCAGATGTATTTATTTGAAAAATAATTAATATCAGAGATTAACAGGAGTTTGGGACAAATATATCAAATTTTTTATAACTGAATCAAGCTTAAATTTTTAACAGGTTTCAGTTTTACAGCAAGCAGCAAGTTTTCCTTTGTAATGAAAGTATACAAAGAGACAAAACAAATTCCAAATCATGCTTGGTACAGTGCAAAATTGGAAAGAATCATTTAAAATAGCAATGAACCCATGACAAAGTATACAGGAAAATGGTAAAATGATGATGACAGAGGTGGTTGTTTTGGTAACTGTATTATGAGTCATATTCAAATTAGGAAATATTTTGAAGTATATGAACAAACCTTAATTCCAAAGGCTTTCATAAAATCATACTGCAGCACTATCCAAAAATATTATGGTTATCAAGAGCAGAGTCAAAATTGAGATAGAGAAAAATTAAAAAAGAAGTTGCAAAGATAATTATTGAAGCTGCTCCTCTAATAGCATAAATATTGGTGTTCAATTATCTATTACTGTGTTTAGTATTATATTCCATTATACTTTATTATCAAAATGGTTTTAGTAAATAAGAATTAGCAAGATTAACTTCAAGAAATTAAGTTTTAAAATTAACAAGAAAGCAGTTAATTTAGGATTTAAATACATCAGATTTGTAATTTAATAAATAGTAAAGCAGTAGATTCAGAGTAAAAAAAAAAAAAATCATACAGATTCATTCCATAAGAGGAACTGTTAAGATATATATAATTATATCCAATCTGAAAAGATGGAAAACTAATTTTAACAAAGTCAAAAGCACCTTCTTTTAGAAGTCTGTATTGCAAATTCTATATTCCCATGTTGTATTTATATTCAAGATAAATTTTCAAGTATTTTGTTTTATTATATTTACATTATAAGTCTCTAGAAAAAAAGAGATGAATTTAGTATTCAGTTTCAAGAGAATTACAAGCCAAAGTTTATAACTATTGTTATATTCATAAGGTTATAAAATGCACTCTCCTTTAATTAAACTCAATTCAAAGTTTGTTTTCAAAGCAAATTCTATAAGCACATCCTACAGTATTAAATCATTCATTTGTGAAAAATTTATTTTTAAAACTAAAGTTACTTGGTAACATTAGTCTTAGAAAGATTAAAAAAAATATGGTACATAAAAACATTAGATAAATGTTTGAATACAAAGTTAAATTCATAGCAAGTTTCAGAAAACCTGAAAATATTCATTTTGAATAAAACTAAAAAAAATTGAAGTTAAAACTTCAAAATAAAATATATTTAAAAATACTAGAAATTAACAAAATAAAATAATTTCTTACATGGAGGTGATATAATGATGGGAGCGACAGCCAATGTTCGCATTTAATGAGATTTAAAAAAACAGTTTAGAAAAATCAAAACGCTAATGCTTCCAAGTTAAATTTATAGTGTCTCATATCAGGATTGATGAATGATAATAAAAATCTATTACTCTGTATATAATCTTTGATGGTTTGTCAATATGAAAAAGTGAATCCTTTATAACAAGTTACAACAGGTGAAAAAGATAACATCCATTTTATGGATGGATTCTTCAAAAGAAAAGTAGACAGAAATACAGCAAATACACAAAGATGTGCAGCCAGATGAAATCGATGATACATTTGATAAGGGAACAGCCATATGATGTGCACATACATAAATATGCATTGGTTGTAATGAGAATCATGATCAGATAAAAATGGATATGAAAAGAAGTATTGAAAAGAAAAAAAAAAAACTAAAAAGTTTTTTATACTGAACTTGAATAGAAAAATTAAATATACAAACATTATATGACAAAGCTTAAAGGGCATCCATAGATACGGAATGTACAAAGCTAAGCATAAAAGCTAACAATCCTAATCTTCGCAACTTGCTTACAATTTATATGATTGTAAAAAAACTATTATGTAAATGATGAGAAAAACAAAAGTATTTATTGCATTCAGTTCAAATAGAATTTCTAATCAGTAGATAACAAAATCTTAGTTTTTATGCATACAAACTTTTATGCAATAGCTATTTAGAATTAATTTAATACAAAATTGGTTGTGCTGGTTAGCTAAGCTAATAAATTAGAATATTCATTTAGATTTCAAAATATGTAAGTTTAAAGCAAATAACAATGTACATTTCAATTAAATAATGTATGTTCATATAATTCTGGGTGAAATTAAAAAAAAAAATATATATATATATATATATATATATATATATATATCTCTTCAAATACTAATTTTGTTATCAGTTCCCTGGTTATGAATAAACATTGTCATAAAAGGTCCAATTTTAAGCATTTGGAGAATATTTTATCATGTGTACTTTTAAAAGTAATATATTAAACCAGTCATTTATATACTTATCAGTTAAGCCTCCATTACAGAACAGATAAGTGACATTATTATGATTGTCATTAAACAATGCATACATCATTTCACAACTTAAACAGTAAAAGGATTGTCTTGCTTAAGTTTTTTTAAGTGATAAGAAAAATCTAAGCTTGAATGTCAGACATAAAATTTTAAAAACAATTATATGCTTTCTTTAGTCTTTATATAATATTAACAGACTTTCCTTCAATTCTAAAATTCATTTTCAGTATTGTTCTATATATTTCCAAAATGACAAATAAAATTAAAATCCAAAATGAAAAACTTATTTCAACCTAGTCCCCAAAAATCATAACCAAGGAACTAAAACAAAATTAATAAAAACATTTAAAAGTATTTTCACATAAAATATATTCCAGGTGTCTAAAATATATATTTTATAGAGAAAAATAAACAAATTTCAAACATTAATATTTAAGTAGCAGTTTTGATAAGATATTAAAAAAAAAAATGTATAAATTAATTTTTATACTGGTTTTACAATTTGAAAGACATGGTTATAAAAAGTTACAGCTAGTTGCTTCACATTGCACATCCAACACCCTTTGCAAAGTAATGGGAAATTTCAAAAAGTAGACAGAAAATTGATCCATTCAAATATTTAATCCATAACTTTACAATAATAACAACAACAACAACACATAATGAATGAATTTAAACTTTACTGACTTGAAATTGTACTTTCAATTCAACTGATATATTATTATTATTATTATAGCAGAACATATTTTTCAGATGAATGAAAGCATGTTGATTATAATGAAAAAAAAATTTCACTATAGAGTATATCAATCTGAAGTCCAATTATTTTGTGTAGGTAAATACTATCATTGTTTTGACTGAAATTAAAGTTTTATTCTAAATCATACCAAAAATTAATCAATATATTCTTATTACAATTACAGTATTTATAATATCAGTCAAAAGTTATTTTTATTAAACAACTGACATTTCAGTCACTTTTAGTTGTTTCATTAGGAACTAAAAATTAAATGAAAGAATATCAGCTGAATAAATTAAAAAAAAAAAAAAGATACAACAAATAAAACAGCTGAAATATTCTCTATTTCTCTTCATAAAACTTATTTTTATCCATTTACTTAAGATGAAAAAAAGCATTGTCATTAGAAATATTCTCTAAAAATTAGAAATAAATTAATTCTCTGCCACACACAAAGATTCACACCAACAATTAGGATGAAGAAGGATTTTCCAGCTTATAATGAATAGATGTAAGGGAGCAATAGAATAAGGAAATCCTTGTTGATTGTAGAAAACATGAAAGTACAAAAAGGTTTCTTTCAATAGTATGAATATGCAAACAGATGTATTTGCAAGGGGCTGCAACAGAAATAGACATTTTTGGTCCAAAATGGCAGTTAGAAAAGAGAGAGAAGAGGAAAGATCTAAATGGCAGTGAGATGGTTAAGGGTTAATACCAGAGAGAGAGAGAGAGAGAGAAAGAGGGTAGCACATACTGTCATCCCTATGGAATAACTGTATGTTGCAACCTCACTTTACAAGTGGTCGGCTTTTTTCATCCTCTACACACATTGTGGCCTTGTACCGTTTCACTTCCTCCATGTACTTTGAGGAGGCATTCATCGAACTGTTGTCAGCAGTATCCTGAAAAACATTGAACTTGAATGTAAGTATTAGAACAGGTTCTCTAGACACAGACACGGGGTGTTCCCTAAATTAAAATAGCTTCTTCCCTCATTTTTTTTGCTTGAAGTCAGCAGTAACAATTGGAGGTTCAACAATATCATTTATTTGCAAGATAAAAGACTATTGTTTTTAATGTGGGAAGAGGACAGGAGAATATTTCAGGAAAGTAAACTCATGTCCAGAAAGTTCACAAGATTTTTTTGTGAAAACAGCATTGGCTGAGGCTAATTGAATTATTTCAAAACTAACTTATATAAAAAAACATTCCTAAGAAACAATGTTATTTTATCACAATGTTTCTTATTTGTTATTTCTTAAATAGATCAGTATTAAATATTTTTAAAATGTAATTTTCACCAAACATTGAACATCAAAAATGTTCATATCAATATAAAGTTCAGAATAAATTTAGATTAAGTAAAAGCCATAGTAGCAATTAAATATTGTTCCATTTTATTATTTACTTTCTATACAAGTTAAAAATGTAAATATCCTGCTGGAAGGTATTTAATCTAATTTTTCAGTTATTCTGTCATTTTACATGTACCAGAAGGGTTAACATCAAAATGAAAAAGAAGAAAAAAAAAGGAAAAATAAAGAATCAACACTGCAGCACACACCATAAAACTGAAGAAAGGAAAGTCTTGTAAATTTGTAATAGGTTGTGTATCTCAGTGTATATTCCATGCAAAAATATATACATGGTAATAGTGTGCAAATTAAAACATTGGATAGAAGCCAAAAAAAAAAAAAAAAAAAAAAATCAATCATTTTAGCCATGGTACCAGTTGCTTTCCCATGATAGATTAAAATAATTATATTGTTTAAAAATAACAGAATATTTAGCTATCTAATAATATTATTTATCCCTCCCCCTATAACTGCCTCAATATTTTTAAATCAATGAATAATAATGTACAAGTTTTTATTGCATTAGAATCAAATAAACAGAAAGCTAATCATGTAATTTTGGCATATACTTTACATGCAATTTTTTTTAATTCTAAAATTAATAAATACACACACCTAATAAGGGTGTAAAAAAAAATTAACTTCATATAAAAATACTGATTTCATTTAAATAAATAAAAGTAAAATAAAAAGAAAATTTCCCACCATCATCTGGAAAAAATGGATATAACAACTGTACTAAATTTAAAAAAAATTCCAACTTGAAAAATCTTACAAAATATTAGTGAAATAAAATAAATAAAAAAAAATGTAAATAATTTAAAATACGAGGTGAAAAAAATCCATATTACTTTGCTATTTGTAATAGTTGATCTGTAGGAGAAAGTGAATTTTGTGCCATTAAAATAATGAATATTTAAATGGAAATTTATCCAAGTTCTTTTACATATTTCTTTTGAGTTCTGCTATAGATAAAGTTTTGTCTGAAAAAGAAATTCTACATATGGAGTAAATATCTTAAGGGAGCTGAAACTCTGGCTTTGTAAAGGACATGAAGTGGTTAATTAAAAGAGCATCTATTGAGATACTGAGCTAAAAAGTAAAACAACAATGCTAAATATGTAGAATTCTTTCTCATCATTTTATGAAAATCAACTCCTCACAACCAAATTTGGTTTTTGATCTGGTAAGAAGTATAATGATGCCATATATTGTCAAGAAAACTCCAGGAAATTGCAAAACTTTCCAATAGAAAATTGTATAGCTACTATGTCAACCTCATAACAGCATATCTTCATCTTCTCATCCATTAGAAACTGCCTTCCAAGCTTTGACTCAATGTATAGCTCTGATAGGCAAGGAAGAAATGAGAGCTCCAAGTTCTTCCTATATGCTCTGCATATATACAAGAACAGATGTGAAGAGATGGACAGTGATCATTTAAATATTCCTTGTCACATCCCAAACAAATCTATTAATAGAAAACAAAATTTTTACTTTACTTTCTGAGGCCAATGTACTGATGATGGGGAGGGGTGCTATGATGATGATGTTGATATAGGTATCCATAACTGGAATAAGAATGACTTTTGCAAAAAAAAAAAAAAAATCAATATCTGCTACAAAATGTTGTTACAAGATATAGGATAAGATAAGTGTTTCCAAAACAGAAATATGATCTGAAATGATGGCACATACACTGAATCCATCATAAATTCAGGATGTGGAAATAGTAAATACTAACCACTTCCACTGCTTTGGTGTATGGATCAGATAACAAATTTAGTGCAGGAGAATAGGAAAATGAACATAGAATCAGTTGCGCTGGAGACAGTTTGTCAAACATTGCAAATTGCGACAAAACTACAACATTAACATAAAAACTCTAGTCATGTTTTTTTAATAGTCTCATCAGATGAAGACTTTCATATGCAATGCATGGTGCCAAACTTGTTCAGAAATATCTAAACTGTCAGCCTTAATCTTATTTACAAAGATGCTTGTTGAGGAAATGTTAGAAAATTACCAATAAATTTTAAATTTACTATAGTTAATGCTCTTAGTTTTTGATATCATGTATGGACATCAGTATTTACAAAAATTGACACTTTTATACACATAAAATAAATTCAAAGTTCTTTTTAAAATACTAGTTGGGGGGGATCAATGAATTGTAGTAAGCTTTTCCATTTATGATTAGTAAATATAGTTTTTATTTAATAATAATAATAATAATAATAATATCAAATGACCAATACAAATTAATAGAGAATTTAAAAATATTTAAAACTAAAAGTTTATAAATTATTCTAATTAAAATTTAAAAAAAATAAAAACAATTCTTGTAAAAGTTCATTGAAAAATTTTTTTCCCCAAGACAATAATGTTCATAATATATTTTGTTCATAAAAGCAATTAAAAGCTTTTCTAACTAAATGATGTCAGAGTTTTATTACATTTTTTATTTTTGTGATTCACGGCAGATTTTCTTCATAATTATGTACATACTTATGAAAGGATATGCGATACCCTGCCCCTGTCAGCTGCTAAGCAGGGAGAAGGGTATCCGTTTTGGTGGCTATGGCAGTACTGCCACCCCTGGTGCCACCAGCAGCTTTTGCCACCAGACAGGGTATTGTTTTTGTATACATCTCAGTCTCTTGCAATTTCTTTTTACAACTGCAATTTTCAACATTGTGTTAAAATACACAATGTGCTCATAGCAACCGTTATTAATGACATAGAATGGAAGGTAAACAACTGTATTTCATGGCGGAAGTAGCATTGTGTTGTGAACATGGTTTTATTTAACTTTATTTATTTTGGATCTTGACTAAATCCAACTAATGCCTGTTAGGCTAGGGTTTGGAGACGAAGCACACCTTAGATTCCAGCCATTGATGCCCACCTTCAAAAGGAATGAAATGACTGACCATCCAAACAATAGGTAGCACGACATGTCCATCTCTTTTCCATGCAGTCAGATCGCAGCAATTTGTCGTGTTTTTTCTTTCACTCGTGCACCTCCTCCCTGTTCTCCTCTCAAGGAACTGTTAATTCTGCTAAGAGGACAAACTTCTTTGAGTCAGACCATGCTACAATGCCAGGTCATGTGTCTGTCTGAATGATGTGTACCAGAAATTGCAGAGGTGTTCTAAGATCAACTAGCACCCTCCAATCATGGGCTCCACTAAGTAGTGTCTTGTTGGGAGTCATTTGGGTCTTTCACACAGGATGTTCATCTTCCTTGTGAAAACAAATCTAAGGTTCTCTGGCCATTACAAACTGCTGGCTGCTTTACACTGTGCACTGACCAAAGTCCATGACCACTTCCAGCACTTTGTTATGACACTACATGTACATCTGCAGTGATTGTGGGCATGCAGAAAGCACATGACATAAAGTGCTTCAATCAATAACATGAACATACATTAGTGTCAGTGTACCCCCATAGCTTGAGGTTGGTTGCATTTGATAGATCATAGGTAGATCACAGGAGGAATGATATCGCCAATGGCTCATTACAATCAGGGTATTCCATAATAGTTTCATTGGATTAATATCACACCATGCTATCTAAGCACATTGTTTGGACTGAAAAACTGCAGTAGCTATTCACGGCTCTTCCTCGAAATTCCTGAGTTTTTCAATCATCATATCTCATTTTCCCTTTTGACCCTGTTTGGAGAAAAACTGGTTGCTTGTGCTACCCAGGCCAGCTCAATTGGTTTGGGTTACCCCCACCCATAATCTCCTTGATTCACAGGCTAGATTTGCTTCTTGGGTGGTTTCTACTGCCGACCATTTAGTGCCAGTTTTGATATCTGGCTGTAACCTGCGAATGAACTCATCGGCTGAGTCCATCATGTGAAGGCATACCTTCCCAACCTTGAACTTCTCCACCAATGAGGAGATGGGAAGTTGCAGGTTTCTGGCATTAGTATGTGGAAAAGCATAGTGGGACTCCAAGCCACTTATGCCAGTACTTGTTAATACATGGGTTCTGTCAATGGATCTCCATCTAGTGCCACTTCCTGCACTTCTTTACTTGAGTGACGATCAGTTAGTGAAATTTCATACAGCCGTCTGAGGCTCTTCACTGGCTACCCTTTGACTGTTGGGATCATGTCACACCCTCCCATGCAGAAGTGAATCTCCCTGACAGAGCTTCTGGGTACTGATAAGCTCCAGCTTTTTTTGGGCTTAGCCTTCATTCTCACCCACATGAAGAGCTTATGCTAGTGTTGCAGCAGTTCATTAGAACCAACCTTAGACGGGACCAAAATGGCGATATCATCCATGAACGCTCTGGAAGGAGTAAAGGACCATTTGTCCCTTAGTCCCTTTGCTGTGTCCACTGCACTCCATAATATGAATTCCATAGACATAATGAAAAGTAGTAGTGAAATCACACAACTCATCATGATGCCAAAATTGTAGTTACCATTGGTGAACTGCATAAACACTGCTCTGAAATGTTTCATTGTCATCTCCCCAACTTTACTAGGGAAATTGAAAAATTCAAGGGACATTTAAATTAACTCATGAGGAACTAATCCATATGCATTCACGAGATCAAGACAAAACACATGAAGCTCAGTTTTATATTTTTGGCTGATAAGATTGAGTTTCAAATCATGTGTGAATGCTCCAGACAGCCTTCTGGACAGTTGTGTTTATGTAATGGTTACCTAGCAGGAAGTCAGTCATACAACAGTCAAGGACCCCAAAAACTATTTCCCCCTCTACATTCAAGAGGGAGATGGGGTGGAAATTTGCAATACCTTTTGCATTTTTTCCTTAGGTATCCAAATGTCATCCACCAAGCACCATTTTTGTGGTACAATACTCCGTTTCCATGCCCATTGGAGGAGGATTGTGAGTTGCTTGAGGACATTTAGACAATTCTTACATAACTTGTAAGATATTCCATTTATTCCAGGTGCACTACCAGCACAGGATTTGCAGATGTATTCCTGAATTTCCCTCAGACTTAGTTCGCTGTCATTAAACATGACCTCTGGATCTTGGGGCCAAGGAAGGTCATCCATAAGAGGGATTGAACATCTTTCCAAACACCAGAATACGTCATCCTCAAGTGGTTCTTGAGTTCCTACTACAGTACATCAAGTTTGTTGCTTAGTCTCAGTGAACAGCTTTTTAGCAAAAGTGTAAGGATTATTGTAAAATAATCTTTCAGACTTTCATTTTTTCTTGACATTTTCTTTGATCCTCAGCTCTAGAGATCACCAAGATCCTTTCTTTAATATCTGTAAGCAGGTCTTTAAGGCCTGCCCTCTCATGGATTGGAGTCGGCGTTTCACAACTCTCTGATCTGCTCTTAGTTTATCCTTCTGAATCTGTCATCTATTTGGTTACTTCTCTTCTTTCCTATTCCCTCTTGCAGTTGCTACATTAAACCACTCAAGACAAACTTCATTCACAACTCTGCAAAAAGATCTGATCTGCTGGCTAATGGGGGCCTTTAGATGGTTGGTAAGTATTAATGAGAGTTCCTGATCAAGATTCAACCAAGTAGCTCTCTGATTGCCCTTGAGCTACTGGATTCTTAGCAATTTCTCAGCAATCAGATCCTGAACACTGTGGATATAATCTGGATTCATAATCCCATCATTCAACTTACATTCTCCAATAGGGGAATTGTGTTAAAATTAAATGAGTGGGGTGTAACAGTTGTTAAAAACAAAGTATATATATATATATATATATATATATATATATATATATATATATATATAAAGATTTTATAAAAAGAAAATATCAAAATAATTTAATTCATTTGCAAATAAGTCCTAAAAGTTTCATTAAAATCTGTCAACTATCTGATTTTTGCAAAAATTTCCAAATCAGTGTTTTTTTACTGCAAAAAAAGACACCAAAACTCAAATTAAATATCTTGTACAAATTTATGGTGTTGATGCCAGAAAAAAAAACAAAATTTTTAACAATCAAAAGTCCCAAAGTTCTAAAAAGGATTTGAAAAATGATTTTTACATAAAAAAAAAAAAAAATCCTTTCATTTTTCATCTTATTCTTAACAGTGAACACAAAGGTTTTATTGTTAAAATTTTATTTTTATGTATTTTTTTCATGTATTCTTTTTTAGCGAATTTTTGAAAGTACCTGACCTAGACACAGAAAGAAAGAAGCCCCCATAAATACTGGAATTGGCGATAACAGTGGATTTGAGAATCCTATTTTCCTGAAAAATTGTTTCAAGGGAAAGATTTTATAAATAAATTTAAAAAGGTAAAACGACAGTAACACTGGAAGGAAGCTACCATTACCATCCCAGACGTAAAAACGAAACTGACAAAATTTAAAAATAGATGTTTATTAGTTTATATATTCAGTATAGAAAATTTCCAGATGCTAATTTTAAATGTAAGTATTAACAAGAAAATTATCTCATAAACAAATAATTTACAAGCAGAAATTGTAAATTATTCCAATCTAATCAGGTAGTACTGGTTAATCGTAAATGGCTGTTTTTGTTTATCCTGCCAAATACTTGCAAAATCTTTTTTATTCGGTATGCCACTATTAAAAATAAATTCAACTTTAATGTTTCATGTTTAGTTTCTGTTTAGTAACTAGTTCATTCTTTCTTCATAATACTTTTTTTTAGCCTTATGATGGATAAAAACATTTTATTAAAAACGTGTCTTTAGTTTAAACTTTTCAGTTCTGTTTTGGTTTTTAATCCACTTTTAAAGAAATTAAACAAATAATGGATATATTTTTAAAAGAGGATACTGGCTACAAGTGATCTGCTTCCATTGATTGGTAGAATGAAAACAGGTGTTGAAAAAAAAAAGATTGATTTATTTATAAAGGAATAATAATATTCATAAGAAGAAGAATAAAATTAAGAAACTTTCAGTTCATGTTATTGTTTAATGTTTAACAATAAATTCGAATTATTTCCATGTAATCAGAATTTTTCTTTGTTTCATTGAAATTTTTCTCAACTTAATAACTAATCTTCAATATTATCGTCAAACAAGAAGCATTACTTATTCCCCAAGATAATGGGAGCAACTGGTACAGAAGATAAAGAAGGACACAGACAAGTAGGAAAAGGATAACAAGGATCCTGCATGCTGTACTTACGGAAGTGTCGGTTCTCAATTTCTTGACTATTCCTGTTTTGAGGGAGCGCCGAGAGTCACTACGCCTTTTCCCTACCTGGGAAAAGAACACTAAACGGGTGAGAAAAACGAATTGGTGGGTCATTAGCTCTGTAACTGGATGTACAATTTAGAAGTTAGCATCAATAAAATTATAGAAATTTTCACCTTGATTGTGTCAAAAAAAACTTTTTAATAAAAAAAAAAAAAATAATCAACATTTTTTTTTATTTCCTACAACTTTCAACATTTTGAAAGTCATACAAAAACGAAAAAAAAAAACTGTATAAACTAGAATAGCAACGCCGATAACAACAAGGCGCCCTCTTTTCTTCTTCTTAGCTATAATGATGGCAGATCATTACATTTTTTACTCATGCTAAACTTAAACTTCAAGATGGGAGAAGAAAAAAAGTCTTTTTAGTAAGGTTACATTTTTCGCTCTTATTTATTAACTGCACCCGTCTATTTTTCTTCTTAAAATTTCGTAACATAAAAAAATGCTTACTAATAGTTTTAAAAAGATATGAACAAAGTAAAAAAAAAATTTAAATCTATTTAGAAGTAAAACTAAAAAACAAAAAAAAAAAAAAACAAACAATATTGTGTTTTCAATTCATAGAGTACAAAATAATTGTTTAAAAAAATTTACGTTCATTGTTCATTCAATTTAAAAACCCTATCCTTATCAATTATTTTTATTTACAGAGAGAGGTAAATTGAGAAGATAATCGAACGAAATTTATGAAGAAGCAAGGTGTTGCAAGGATCATTGATGCAGATGAAAAATCTCTAAATTATTTGCTTTTTGCAACATTCTTTTTTTTGGAATGGCTTTATTATGCAGTTTTGTTCACAAAAAAATGACACATAAATGGAAATCGAAATCCAATTAAAAACTAAAGCCAGCTATAAAATTAAAATGTATACTTTGATTCATATTGAATATTGATTGATTGATTTTTTTTCTTTTTAGATGTAATGGGAAATTCTCACATATTTTTACTGCGAATGAATGATGAGGAAGGAGAAATCAAAAGATAATTTTCCAACTTGTAAACTTTTAGAGAGGTATTTTTACCGACAAAAAAATGTGTAAAAGTTGCAAATTAACTGAAAGAGGTGAATAAAAATTAAAAATACATGTGGTGATTGAGAAAAATCTAAAATCGGAAATCAAAAATAGTGTTGTTTTGTAACGCTTGGTGAAATTGCTATATAAACGTTTTTCTATGCTGTTGAAGTGAAACTAAAAAATAAACATACAAACCAAAAAGAAAAAGTGTAAAGAAAAAGCCTTTTTGATCCATGTAATAAAAAAAGGAATTAAAAAAAAAAACGTGGGGCGAATGTTATAGGGGTAAATCTTACTTTTCCCAGAGATAAATCTGCATTATTTTACAACTTTAAAAAAAAAAAAAAAAAAAAAAAGCTGTGAAATTGATTTAAAAAGTCTACATTCTCATAGACTTTAAATCAATTTCACAGCTTTCTTTTTTATAGAATCAACGAAAAATGTATGAAAACCGGAGTTCGAAGAAGTTAACACGCTGCTAGTAAAATAACGATTTTCCTTTGAATCAAACTCATTCATTCCATTGTCTTTTGTTAATATACTTGTCAGTTTTAAAGAAAAGAAAAAACAAGAACAAATGAAATTCACCCTTCTCGTACCATTTTTTTGTTTTGTTTTCACGTCTTGCGATACGAATGAAGAAGATTGAAGGTTTTTTCTAGATATTAAATAACACTACTAAGTAACACTAGTTTGTTTTTTTCTGTTCTTTTGCTATTTTTCTTTATTCCGAGAGACAATTTTTAAAAATGAATTCTGAAAGATCAGTTGCAGAAAGAATAATAATAGCAAACTTATTTTCATTTTTGATAAGTAAACTAAAAAAAGTAAAACTGCAGACACAGTGATAGAGATCAAAATATGGAGAAAATATTTAATTTTAAAAAGGTACATTTTTAAAGTTAAACAATGACATTTGTTAGTAGTACGTGTTTTTTTTTTTTAATTTTTTTAGCCTTCCTTGAAAAAATATTGGCATTAAAAAAATAATATCACAATGTAAATTAGAAACACGCGAAGAATGAACGTCATAATTTGTTTTAAAATCAAAGTTACAAAAAAAATCAAGTGTTCCTATAAAAAAGGTAAGATCGCTAAATAAATACAGTCTCTAACTATGCCACATTTATTTATTTTCACATGAAACCATAAAAGGGAAAATGGATGATAGAGCCTGGAAGGGTAGAAATTTTTCAAGACAAAGAAAGGAATAATCAAATCAAAACTTAAAGAATATTATTATCTAAAAAAGAATGCTAAACTGACAGAAGACCCTATTTCTTTTTAACAAGATGAACAAAGCAAAAAGGTTAAAAAAATAAAATAACTTTAGTTTGCTTTTTCGTACAGCGACACAATTATCGATTTGTTTCTTTTCTAAGGAATCGAGTCAAAAGAGCTGAACATACGAAACCGAACGAAAGAAAAAAAAAACTTATTGCGTATAAAATTTATTCGTAATATTTTTACTTAGTAAACAGGGTATACACAAATATACACAAGCAGCAGAAAGAAATAATTGAACATAAATTACAAACAGGTGATTTTTTTATTTTGCCTCATATTGCGATTACACCTAAAAACAAAAAAAAAAACTTGACAGTTGAGTAAACTGCTTTTTTGTTTTGCTTTTGGAATCGTAGAAAGAAAAAAAAAGAAACGAGATATAAAGTCATTTAAAAATAAAATAAAAAAGAAAACTAAAGCATAAAGTACAATTTTTACGTCACCAATTTGAGTCAGTGCCAAATAAAAGTAAAAACATTCTTTATAGATTATTTGCAGAATACCTTAGCAGCTTTTGAAAATTTTAGTTCGATAATTTCTTTTGTCTTCGACAAAAAAAAATGTTATTAAAAAAAAAAAAGAAGTATAGAAAGGAGCTTTCGCAGTATGAGGCAAGAAAATTACCTAAATTAAAAATTGTAATAATAAAGAAAAGAAAAAGAACCATAAAGCGCATTTCGTTTCCTACATTAAAAAAGATAAACTACAAAAGAAGAGCGTAAGATAGATAATGATTCAATCCATCATCATAAAACAGAAAAACCTTACAAGAGGTAATAAGCCAGACTTTAAGGGATTTGTTGTTGATGATGATGATGATGATGATGTGGTTGTGGTGGTGGTGGTGGTGGTGGTTGCTCTAGTGTTATTATTATTTGACAAGTTATCTGGCGACAAACCAGCTGAAAGCATTATTTTTTTATTCGATGTTGATGTCACCGCCGTCGTTGTGTTCTTGATATTAGAATTCACACCATCATCTGCGGAGATCTTAGCAGAGTTGGTTTTCATTTGCTCCTCCATTCGTTTCTTGAACATCTCAAGAAAACTGCCATCGTTTGCGAACTGATTTTTCACTCGTTCCGTTGGATGCTGAAATTTTCGTGCGTGAATATTCCCTGCATAAGGGAATCTGTGGCCATCAGCCATGACAACACCCACTTTTCAACTGTATATAATAAACTTTTTTTTTTCTCTCCTGATTGTTGTCTTTTTGTATCCACGTTACGAAAATAAAACACGTTCTGAAGCTTCTCTCTATACTAAACATAACCCCACGCTCTTGCTTTACTACAGAATTAGCCAATCGATGTTACTTTTATTTTGTTTACATGTTTTAATTGACCAATCACTGATCTCGATACATTCACTCACATTTCAATCAGTTTCTACTTAATTCAATAGATCATAGCTTTTTTTTTTATTATTAAAACAGTTTTTATTTGAACAAAGTATATATAAACAAAATTTTTTTTCTTTCCTCAGCTAGCCGCAATGATGGAAAAAGCATTACCTAACACCATCGTCAGTGAGACACGCTGCAAGAGTCACTCCGTTTTACGAGGCTCGTCCCTTAATCGAAATGCAATCCCGCCAACCCTCCGAAGGAACGCCATCGAACGAGGGCCAATAACCCCAGATATCTCCACTGCCACTGGAGTAAAACTAAATCTGTCTGCAAGAGTATATTTAACTATTTTTTTGTTTTTTTTATCTCTGCGTCCAATGTGACAAACTCCGGCTCAACCGCGGACCTGACCAAATTACCTGTCGAAAATGTATATGCATAGGTCGCATCCCAAATCAACGACTTTCCCCACTTTAAAAGGGGAAAATATGGTAATCCCATCCAGCCGCTTTCATCACCACGGTCGCGGCTTACTGGTTCAATTTGGGAGAGGAACCTAGCTGCATCCAGTCCTCTTTTGATGATGTTTATTGCTTCATGCCTTGAAAGCGGCTTTTTATATGCAAAAGCTGAAGATATAACTAATCTACCAAACAGGCCAAATGCTATTTAATTACTTCTGCTTTATTTTTAATCATAAGCTTCATTTACACATGTACAACAATTATAAATGTCACCTGTTATCAATATATTCATGAAAACCATTGCTAATTATTTCATTTCATGAGATTTATTCATAGACATGTGCCAGACTAAATAAATACCTTCACAAGTTACTTAAAAAAAAAGAAAAATGTATATTATTTCTTTTATACAAAATTATGGAGAAACTTTATCAATTACTTAAATGTTTGTTTCTCTTTATTAAAAATTCAGTTGATTACAAACACTATTACTTATACAAATCTTTTCAGCATAATTTAATTAAAAGAGAAAATAATTTATTAAGATGAAAATAATGCACTCATTTCAGAATTTTCTACAGTATATTTATGTCCAGCATCATATATCTCCTTTCCTGACAAAACTAATGCTAATACAATATGGGATATTTAAAAATAATAGTATGACAAAAGCAAAAGAAAGCTGATTGAAATCAGTTAGTTTATATATCTAGATATATCAGATGTCAAAAATTTTAAGATAATTCAAAGTGTTTGTATCTTTAAATGCTTTCAATACAAAATTGCAACTGGCATTTATTGTATTTCTCTTCACTTATATATATATATATATATATATATATATATAAAAGGGTGTTCCAATAACTAAGTTTAAACCTCTAATGATTTTTTTCTTTTTCTTTCAGATTTGGCAGACATTTGGGCAATATTATTTTTCACACACAACTGCCATGACTTCAATAACATGATCCAATAGAGAAATAAATAAATTTTCACCAATAACATTGATTTATTTAGTGCCGACTTTGATCCATCTTAATGAAACACCCTTATATATAATTTGTTTTAATTAAACACCCTTTATAAAAAATAAAAACTATTGATAAAACCATTATTAGTTTGAATAAATTTCAATTTTGTCATTTGATTTCCCACAATAGAACTTCTATTAAAAAATATATATGAAAGAAATATTGATGAATTGAGAACATTTCAGCACCTTAAATACACACACAGAGCCACACTGAGGAGGTATGATACAGTGAAACAGTCTGTGGATGATTATATATGTTCTCTTTCGTGGATTGAGCACTTTGGAAGAAAGGGAATTTGTTGACTGCTGCTGCTAATTAATGCTAAGTTCTTCGCTATGAATTGAGCCCTCTAACAGTTGGTAATGCTTATATCTTGTACATAATGCATTAAAAATTCCATTTCTCCAAAGCATGCGATGATGGCCTAGGGGTGAGAGTCTCTGACTGATACAGCAAAATAGTCTATCTGTGGATGACACTATATATATATATATATATACACACACACACACACAAAAATGGGCATAAATATCTTGTTCTACAAGATCATTTTTCATTTCCAATAAAATAAAAAAGAAATATTAGTTGTTTTGTGATTAATTATTAATGCTTACAACAAAGAAATAAAAAAAATCATGGTCAGTGATGAAAAGAAATACTTTAAAACTTATAGTGCCACATGAAAATTCACTTTATATCACACACATCTATAAAAATAGCAATTAGGTGTGTACAAAAAGTGGTATTGTATGATCATTGTTAATTTCAATCTTTAAGTGATCAACAGACTATGTCAAAACAGATAGTTACAATGCACTGTTGATTTCTATGCCCACACTGTTCATATCTACAAATGCTCTATCCCCAATATTGAAATCTCCCTCCTCCATAATATAATTTTCAGTATGCATATTTGTGTTTCTATCTTGAACATGTCAAAATAGATATCAGAATAAAAGAAAACATACATTTTATGAAAAAATAAAGAAAACTCATTTATTAAAATTTCATTTAAAAAAAAATATATATATATATAATTACCAGTGAAAGTAATTGAAGAGGAAAATGTAATTGATGTCAGTTTTAATAAAATCAGTAGCAAATGCAGCCAAAGATGAACATGATCATCAGTTTGTTCACCGAGAGAAAAAAAATTGATATTTACATTAATTGATTATAAAAAACAGGACTAGATTTAAAAGTTAATGACATGAGATACAAAGGATGTGTAATATGAACACAGAAAACCTTTATTAGGCAGTTTTAAAACAAGGGATGAAAAGAACTCAAAAGAAACTTGTAGGTGATTCAAAATTGAATAATAAATACAAGAGTAATTAATACTGTTACTATTGAAATATTTATGTTCTGAAAATATTAACAAAATAAATCTCTTGTTAATCAAACATTGACTACTGAAGAATTTATTCTTTTATAGCTACTTTCATCCTTTGTATAGATCGCATGATTATCACATTATTTCAAGTTTTCAACCAAGTTCAACTTCTACATGGTTTTTATAAAAATCATTTGAAACAAATCATAGAAGCAAAGATGGCAATCAATTGCAATTGAAAACTTTATTTCCTGGTAATAAAAAAAAGAAAAAATAGCAGATAGTAAACTTGTAGCAGTTTGGCAGTTTTCTTCACAATTTTCTTATTATGATAGGAGTAACAACAAAGATGTTTTTTATTGAATAAATTGTTGCTAAGCATGTACAAAACAAAGCATAAATCATTCATCTAAGTAAATTGCAAGAGATAAGGACAAATTTATTATACATTGATTATTTTGAACTAGTGTCCTCATCTCAGTTATTATGTTTTGGTCATCATGTCCACTGGCCTTCTTCAGGTGTTTGCCATAGTTGGTAAGCTTCTGGAAAATTTGAATTAAACACTTTATTCAATCCACAGGATTGAATAAAGGACTGTTCTCATTCTATCGTCCATACTAGAGGATATCTTACATTAGTGCATACTATAAAATTAATTTGTCCTCAGATCACCTGCCTCTTCTACTAACCACCTCATCACAACTGTACCAGGCTGCTTAAGTGAATTGAGTTACCTGACAGTCATAAATTTAATCCCTACAAGCTATGACAGTTTCAGTTTTAATAGCAACAAAACCATTGATTACACACACACACACACACACATATATATATTCATTCATTTTATCATTTATTGATTACTATCACTTAAACAGATGTTATTATAATAATTATAATTGGTATATCTGACAATGAACCATTAACGCTGACATCCAGTATAAAAAAAAATGTGTGTGTGTGTGTTTATATATATATATATATATATATACACACACACACACACACACACACACACACACACACACACACACACACACACACAATGCCAGGTCACTCTACAAGTGCTACTGGTACTATGTAACCCAATAATACTTGCAATATGGTCAAGTCTTCAGCAACTGAACCATTTCCCCCACCAAGTTTTTCTGGTGAGGAGAGTGGCTATACTTGTCATGTCAAGAGACATTTAGCACAATAGTGTACATTTGGCTCCACAATTATGAATACAGTCAGTTCAGTGATGACATAATATCACTAAACTGAAGCCAATGGCCAGAGCAGAGGGTTCCTGGATAGAATCAATAGCCACATGTTGGTAGACATCCACTGCAATTTAACTGGGAGAGGGATGGGATCTGCCAGGTCTACTTGCTCAAGATGTGCTATGCATGAATGAATACCTCTCTAGCTTTCAACCCATATATGTGGAATGAAATGGTAATGTGCTCAGTTGCACAGCAACCTTATGACCACACCCAGTCATGGGACTGAACTGATGATGAACTATGACAGACACCTGAAGAGTTCAATGGAGAGTAACTAAGAAAAGGATACTAGTCTCAGCAATTCTGTGTATAATAATAATAATTCATTATCTAAAACTTCAGATATGGACATTTATAGTATCTAAAAAAAAAAAAAAAATCACAAAATTTAAATTTATATTCCAAATTTTCATTTGTATAATCATATAAGAAACTATAATTTGAAATAGATACTAATAAAATTAAAAAAAAAAAAAAACATTTTTCATATTTTAAAAAGAGGAGAAAAACTGATGAAGGAAAATGGTTGAAATCTTTGCATACTGGAGAGGGTTCATTTCATAAAAACATCCAGAGAACCTGTGAAACTAAGATGTCTGGAAAATAAAAGCCAATTTCAAATATCATATTGCAAAATTAAGGTTTGTCATATTGCTAAATTGTGAATCTTTTACAAGATTAAAGATTTCTCTAGATATTTATGCTTCTTCCAATAGTAAATCAGAACAGTACAGACAAGATTTTATTGCAAAAGCTAGCAGTTGGGTTCAATACTTCTCAAATTGTAATATAAATGAAAGTGATAAAATTATTTCTGATCATAAAGCACATTGTTGGTTTCAAGAAATTTTAATTACATACATAAGTGTCTCAAAGATAACAAGTGTTGATGGTGTATTACTATAATAGATGAGCAAGTAAAGTTGTTAGGGAAAGAAAATACTCTGTAAATTCTCTGAGAACAAAACTTATATATATAATTATAGCAAATTACTAAGACAATAATATTTGGCAGTAAACTAGAAAAATGAAGCTATTCCTTGAATTACTTTCAGAGAAACCAAAAGAATGATTGTTTTGAAGTTCTTTGTATGTTGCATTTGCAGAAGAAAAATGCATTTATTAATTAAACCTCCACCAATGACAAGGAGCTGAAGAAAATTTGAAAATATTCAAAAATTCAAATTTACTGCAACAAATTTCATGGTCACTGTATGGTTATCATACATATATTTGAACTATAGTCTTTATGATGCATAGAATGTAAATTATAAGTAGTCTTTCCCTGAAGAAATTAGAAGATGGTATAAGACAAAAAATTGTTTAAAAACAAATGCTCAAAATATAATGATGACAGCACTTCCTCTCAGAGAGTTAAAAAATGTCACAACATTTTGCAACTAGCATGGTATGTTAGATTGTTTTTGTAGATTTATGACAGTACAGCTCTACTCTGAAAAAAAAATTTTTACGAAAAGAAAACCATCAAATGAAAAAACAAAAAACCTTGTGTTATATATTGGACTAGGATGTAGAGTTGCATCCCTTTGTCTCGAGTGACCCAATGTATTAGGATATCTGTTCTAAGGGGCATATTTTTCACGGTACCAATGAATAAATCAGGTAGTGACAAATGGCTGCCATGTTGGATGGATGCATGTTTCTGCTCTCTTAAGTAAATTCTGTCTTTTGTGGTCTTTATCAGTTTCAGCATGTTTGAATTGTACACCACACTATGACAATCCTCTGCTTCACTTTGATCAAAATATACTACAAAAGCTCAAAATATACTACAAATTATCTTCCACATCCTCCATTAATATACACTCAGTTTCAGAAAACGAAAAGATTAAAACTAGATTAAAGGAACATAGGACTTTCAAAAAAAATTTAAATTCTAAAAATAAATAAAAAAGCAATTTTTATTTTTGTCACAATATGAGTCTTTTGTGGGTAAAAATGTCTGGAATTTCATGCTTTTTATTTTCAGTGATAATTTTGTTGATAAAATAAACTGGTTATTATTTTCTAGACAACCTACTAGTCAAAAAGTTAACTCACTTTGTTACAAATTAATGCATATTCACTCATGGATGAAGCATAATATTTCAATAAAATTGACTATAGTAGAACTTTAGTCAACAACCAAATCAGAAAATCAAACATTCCCTTATTCCTATAAAGTATCATACTACCTATCTTTTTGGTTACTGCAGTTGAAAAAGTTGACCATTTGTATCATTCATGGCAGACAGATGAATACCAAAAGAAAGTCTTCAAATTTCACTCAGAAAAAAAATAATACAAGCAAATAAAAAAAGATTCAATATGGCTGAAGACATTAAAGGTCATAATAAAAGATGAACTGAACTTGATTGGTTGCGAGTTTGAACTTTATATGTAGATACTTTATCAAGTTTGCTTATATTCCATACATAGTAGAATATCATTGAAACAAACTAAGTTGAAATTATTTCTAACATGTTACTCTGGTGTTATTTAATGAAGAATTTATAATGAACAAACCTGCTTACTGATTTGCTTCTTTTTGTTTAAAAAGAAAATAAAAAGCCAGGATAATATATCACAGAACTGATTTGCCATCATAAAAAAGAAAAAAAAAATGATCATTTGGTCTTCAGACTCAAACCCACTAATGATTAAAATGCTGTTAACATTGATCAAGATTTTTTGAATCCATATAGACAGTAATGATAGACTTGCTGTAGCTGGGTAGTATCTGTAGCTGAAAAAGAAAAAAATGTATTATGAAATTTTTAATGAAGTAAAAAAGATGAATATGGTTTTTAATACCTATTAATAATTACTAAATGTTTTATAAAAACTAAACTTGAAATGATGACAGTCATTTGAACATTTGTTATCTTTAATCTTGCGCTTAGTAAACACAACGTCATTTTTAGATTTAATAGATTTAGGAAAAGCCATATTATTATTTACATTTTAAAATAGTGTTTGTTCATTTATAAATGTGTATATACTGGATGAAAATAATTATTAATTTTCAGGAAAAAATACAGTATTTCTTGTGAAAAATTATTACTTTACTGCTTTTCTATTTTTTTTTTTTCAGCTAAACTGTAAGGGAATACTGAAAAGTTCTCAGCCTGATCTACTTCACAAAATTTAACTAAATGACTAAACATCAGATCAGTCAGTATCAGGAACACAGTGCAAAGTACCAACATTCAGTTAATTATTCTTAGAACAATGTAATCATCATCAGAAAATTTAGATTTAATTCTTTATTAGTTTAATTATTCAACTTATATTTGTTCGATATAAATGTGAAGATTCTGAAAATGCATCAAAAATTCATAAATTTATTTAACAATTTATAAACATCAATCCTGAATTGCATTAAAATTTTCAGGAATTGTTCTTTGGAGTGCCATCAAGTACACTGAAAATTTATTGACAAGATGGCTAAAAACTAACCTACAGGTGGAGAATATTGTCTAGGGATGTACAATTACCCACATATAGACACAACACATTAGGACTTCTAGTCCTATTAAAACAAGTTATGAACCACAAGCATATTCCATATCTCCACTTTGATCTAGTCATGGAAGGAACTTTTTTACATCTATAGAAGACATTACAAAATAATAGAAAAAGAAATTTTTTGATTTACTAAATCAAGATTTGAATATATTTAGATACAGTGCATTTAGCAAACATATCAGGTGATCTCAGGTAATACCTGATAGATATGGCCAAGATTTACATGACCACTAATCTATCTTAATTTGAACCAATTCAATAAATAAATCAATTCAATAAACCCCAAAATCCCTTATTTTAAAAAATAGAAAATTTTCTAGAACATTATACTCTTCTTTAAAAGTTAGCCGCAAAGTTAATAGAAATCAGCTTATCCAAAATTTTATTGTAATCTGGAAATTCAAATGTCATAAGTGTTAGATCCATAAAATGTTCCCAATATTCCACATTTAACTTTGTCTTAAAGACTGAACAAAAAAAAAAAAGATTAATTGTCATGGAAGCCCAACTTTCAAGAGCAAGACTAGCTATATAATATTTAACTATGACATAAAGGCAATAAAAAGTGTAAAATTCTATCACTTACGATCAATGTTCAGCTTTTGTAGAATTTCTTTTGTTTGTGGAAGCTTGGACATCACCTCAATTAGGTTAGTGGCTGCCACTTGTGGTAACCGGATATTGTGATAAATGTAGATACGATTATTAAAAGTGGCATACACAAAACAAGGCACATTCTTCTGGGGGTTGATGGCATAGAATCCTTTTAAAAAAAAAAAAAAAAAGTATTAGATTGAGTTAGCAGAAGTCAACAAATAAGACGGTTTTGATTAGAAAATTGTTCACCTATTTTGAAAACCTTTTGGTTGAAAGACATGCAAATTTCTTTTTTCTCTTCATTAAGATTAAATTTTTAAATTGTAAAGGATCACCATTTTGTGCAACAGGAATAAAAAGATTCAAATTTGTGTTTTCAACATGTGACAATTGTCAAAAGAAATCCTATTTTTACAAGTAGCATACTTGCGAGGTATTTATTTTTTTTCCAAAATAATGTCTTATTTATCAGATGAAAAAGAAAAAAATATTTTGAATTGGGGTTTATTTGTAGATTGTATCTTATAATTAGTTTAGATTTTCTGTCTGAATTTCTGGGATGAAGAGTTATTAATTACTTGTGGACTATTGTTACAAAAAAAAAAAAAAAAAATTGGCCATTGTACTCTCCAGCCTTCATTAGGTGATTGTCAATCCAAGTAACATTTAGGGATTTTCAAATTGAACCTTTTATTTAATCTATGGGTGGTAGATTGTTCTCATCCCACCATCCAGGTGTTTCTCATTTAGTCTGTATTTAGTATTGCTCAGTTATTGCATGACCTGTTTCAACAGAGTTCAAGTACACATTGTCCAGCCCAGGGATTGAACTCACAATTACTGTCACCAAATTCACAAACCATTAAGCAATTAATGGACAATTCTGAGTGGAGAACTTAGAACCCTAATCTGCTTGCTGATGAGTGCTGCAGTTACTTGTCAAATTTCATTGCACTCACCAACACTTCTTTTTACAGTTGCTGAAGACTTGCTGTCACTTTTTTTTTATATTTCTATACTAGGTTTACTAACGAGGTCTTCATAACCTAGCATATGCATTGATTTCTTTTCAGACATCTGACTCCAGTATTCCTCTCTGTCCAGTATTTTTACTTGATTCCACAGGGATTGAAGACTACTCTTTTCTCTCTATACATGAGCAACTGTGCCTAGTTTCACTGTGTCATACCTAATTACAGCTTTTTGATGTTTTTCCAGCATTACTCTTTCATTTCACCATAGTATTCATTGTCAAAACTGCAAAGGATAGAATACATGCAATTCTTTGTCATGTTCTCCTTTGTTTTAGGCTTGACACAGCAGAGATGTCTCTGTAAGGTTGAACTGCTTCTGAATATTGTCATGATGTTGTATGGACTGCAGATCAGCTTAATCTTTTCAAATAAGCCCTTGACAGACTGTAGCAATTTTCTGGTTCTCCTCCTCGACCCTTCTGTTTCTGCCCACAGAAGCTGATGTTATATTTGCAGGTTAGTTATTATTCTGAAGGGGACATTCAATACTGATCATCTGTTGATATGTATCTGTCTTGCTATTTTTGATTTTTGCACAGTACTGTAGACATTGGATGATCTCTTTATTCACTTTAAAGTTGAGGTATTATCCAATGAAGATTGACTTGTGATATACAGATGCTTTGAACCTATTCTCTGTGAGTTATAAGTACCTCCAAGAAGGCTAGTTGATATTATTTTCTTCCACTGTGAACTGGATCAAAGTTCTTATTGAGTTCACATGGTCCAGCAGTATTTGCACAGCTTTCTGGTGAAGCCTGAGTATGAAGGTGTCATCTACATATCTCAGACATGCTATTAGCTTCAGTGGTGCTGTTCCTAAAGCCATTTCCTTGAAGTATTCCATATCTTTGTCATCACCTGATGAAGGCCAGGAGGCACAACAATCAAAACATTGTGATGACAACAAAGATGGGGACAATAGCCTGCTGGTAAATAATGTAAATAATTAGTTTAGAGTTACAAAGTTTAAGTGTGTTAGAGAAAATGAAAAAAATTGTTTCATTTTATTTTTTGGTGGCTAAAAAGCATCAATTACCCATAAATTGAATTAAATTTTAAATAAATTAAAAAAAATCATTCTGGGTACTCAAAATTAATTTGAGAAATAAGAAATTTTAAAATTAAAATGTCAATTTTTTAAATTTCTACAAATTTCAAGAACTTTTCAAGAGACCAAAAACTTCTTAAATGAATTAACAGCTGAAATAACATTTTAAAATATCTTGGGGAATATAAAATATTAAAAGTGAAAATCCTGAATTAATAATTATGATAACATGATATTGCATTTATATTTATATTTTTAATTTAAAATCTCATCACAATGTTATTTCTGATTCAAGCTGCTTACTTAACAGTTATCGACCAGGCATGGCAAAGACTATTTAAATGCATATCATGTCGTAGCATTAAGATTTCAACCCAGCAGGTAGGTAAAGTGTGTATTCTGATATGCAAGAAAAACAAATATTTTATACAATACTTTTTTTACTCTCTGAATAGAAAGAGAGAGAATGAGAGAGAGAGAGAGAGGAGTTCCCAAGTCTGCCATCAATATACAGGGTGTTTCAAAAAGAATACGCCAAAATCATCATGTGATATGTCAAAAACAAAAAAAATTACAAACCTCTAGCATGAACACGTGTTGTATATACATTCAAGTTTCATTTCATGTTTTATAAGTGCTCAGTGTGGCCACCACCGGCAGCGCGGACAACATCAAGCCGATATGAGAATTCTTCCCAAACACGCCTCAGCATGTCATGGTCCACCGTGTTGATTGCAGATGTTACTCGATCTTTCAAGTTATCGATACTTGCTGAAAGTGCTGGAACATAAACTTGGTCTTTAACATACCCCCACAAGAAAAAGTCACACACAGTGAGGTCCGGGGATCTGGCAGGCCAAGCACAG